CGTTTTTTACATTCGTTGATTCAACGTCGTCGGCGTGAAATTGTAATGATACGCGGTAATTATACACAATAAATATCATATGAATGAAAGCGGTCTTGAGATTTCTTCTACATGTGTCACTGTATTGTCAGCCAAATAAATTGTGCATAATCACGCATTCTCATACAGTTTGTACAATGTTATATTTTAGTATATTCTTATCGTACATATAAACTTTACGTGTATATTGGAAGTATTTATTATGACTAAATTCATTGTTAAAGAAGCTTTTTAAAGGTGAGAATAATTATTTCGAAGGATAAATATGTCATGCGGCTATTGCGACGAAATCGTTTGAAAGAATTCGAGATGTGAAAATTTACGAATAAATTTGTAATCTATGATATATCCGGAACAATTTTCTTGTTATAGGCTGAATAAAAATTTGTATGTTTCAGTAGCTTGATGCAAACTATTTCGTTCATCTTATATGAGCGAAGCAGAAGAGATTATAGCAATCCTGTAGCAAGATCGCGATGATATTATTTAACAAACAAGCCGGATGAGGGGATTATCAGAGTAGTGTTACCACTAATCTTTCCAACGACTTTAGAGCGGCTGCACGCGAGTCTATTCCTTGGTAATTAAGAGATTAAACCCAGTTGCCTGACATCTCAGTCGCCAATGCTATCGCTTTTCTTTATCGTTTATCTTTATTAATTTATGATTATGTATGCACACATTTCGAAAGTATCTAAGTAAAATGCTAATTATGACGTAAATAAGAATCCTTGACCGAACCCCAATATCAATATTATTATTATTAAAATATTCATTTGCACCCTTCATGTGACATACAAAAGCAAATTCAGAAACAAATCTACCAACGAACATCTAATGTTTCAAAATATTAATCACCAATCGAAAAAATAAAAATGAACCTACTTCAACCATTTACTCTAGAACAGTATTTATTGGAAAAAGAAATAATTTAGTAATTTTCTCTTTTCTTTATTGTACCACGAAATTCTATAAAATTCGTTGAAACTTATTACCAGTAATAAAATAAGAATACAATAGTTTAATCAGTAAGAAACACATACAATTTTACACAACGAGATTTGAATCTAGTTAACTGTTAGGCGTAGCATGAATTGAAAAATGTCAAGCAATAATATCTACAATATTTTTTCCTTATTCAACGGTAAAGGGAAAACCAATTCACCGGGGTCCACAAAGTCCGACAATTTTGAAAGCCGGCCATCATCATGCCGGCGTCTCGATTGGTACGGATGTATGTACGAACACGCGGCATATATGTGTTCGCGGTACAAGACTGAAAGGACACGTCTCGAATATTTTACCCTGGGAGTTTTTCCTCTTTAATTGATTCAATCGGCGAAAAACACGGCAGGACCGCTTCACCCTCCGGGAGTTTTCATCTACCGCCTCACGCCACCTCCGCGTCATCCACGCTTTCAGCAACCAACCGCTGTAACGAGACGCCAGAACCAACCTTCCTTTTCGATGAAAACGCCAACCCCTCTTCGTGGTTACTCCCTCCTCCCTTTATTTCTCTTTTGTCTCTTCGTCTCTCTCCCTCCCACGCATTCAACCTTATTTCCTCTTTAATATTATTTTCATCTGCTCGGCGTCTTTTCTTCTCGCCGCGATACTAAATTCTTTCTCTACACTTCCTTCGGCAAGGTTTCCATTTCTATGTACATTTCGAAATACATTTTTATTCCTTGTTCTACGAACATCTCGATTTGAAATGTTACCGCGATATTCGCGTGTTTTATTATTATTAAACGTTCATGGTTTTTAATAGATACGAATGTACTCAGAGGACAAAATAGAATATGATTCATACAAAGTTTGTTATACTTTATCTCTGTAGGAACAGAGAATTTGATTTAGTGAGAGTAACATTATATTCCGTCAGCCTTGTCTATGGATATATTAATTTGTGAATCATTAATACCTTTAATATAGTCATAAAATAATAAGGTTTAGTTACAATATAATAGTTTGCATTTTAAAAGTACATAATTAATTCATATGTTGTAATTTTATACGGCATAATTGAATACCATTTGTTAATTCTTTTTCGTTCCATCCACGTGCTTTCCTTTCCACGCGCACTACTTCCGGTTCTATGTCGTGTTCTCTGTCGCGAAGCGGCATTGTACGTCCTCCACTCCTTTAACGAGATTAGAACGTCGAGATCTCTTGTGTCGAGGCGGCTCCACAATGTAATATGGAAACATTTATATACAGAGACGCGAACAGAAACGGTTGTTACCCGTTTCCACGGGTGTTCGCGCGGTCGCGCGGGTAGGTTATGTAGGTACGTGAGCACGGATACGCCCTTTGGGAACGGCACTTTCAATAAATGCTGGAAACTCAGAAATTTTCCGTTTATTATTTTAATTAGAGCCTTCGGGCCACGTTTAACGAGAATCCCCGGCTGGCAGCGTTTACACTATATAAAGCGGCGTCCCGGCGCGACAATGGAATATGATATTATCGACTTTCGTGTAGCGTAATCCGCGGCACAATCGCGCAACAGAGAGCCCCGGCTGAATTTCTTATTATCCACTCTCTTGTAACAAGCGACCCACGCCATTTTACTTTTTCCCTTTTAATGAAAATGAATTGCACGCGGCACGCGGCGCAACGGGAAGAGAACGGAATTTCCAACGGGTTACACACGGACGCCATTAACGGCGGTTAATAATAATTAAAAATGTAGACGGCTGGGAAAAAATGAATAAATCGGGTAAATTGTTACGAGGCACTCAGCGTTTTTTCGATTACGTTAAGAAGCTAATATTATTGCGTTAATTTAAAATATAATAATTAATCATAAATAGTATACAACTTTATCGTCTACGCTTTCACTTTGTTTAATTCTGTTTCATTTCGTTCTAGTGGTTTGATTATCGATGATTCTAATTTTTCGTGAAACTTCTCCTTTTTTTAAGGTAAAGAATGGTCTCTTCCAAAACATAGCAACGAAAAAGAGAACTGTGCGAAAGAAGGGCCCTGATCGTTTTTTGCGTCAATTTTTTGGTCAGCCTGTCATAAAACCGTTCGCGCTATCCAAAAATGTCCAGTTTTTTCCGTTACTGTGAAAATGCTAGTGGGGCCGAGTTTTTTCCGTTAGAAAATACCGTTTAAAAAAGCCGCGGGCAAATAATTTACAGCGTTACCGTTCGTTTTTTACTCGCGAAGTTAGCCGAGGATGGAGGACAAAACGTGGTACCCTTTAGCTGGCCATTTTCGTCGGTATATTATGCAAAAAAATGTAAGAGAAAATAACAGTGCCAGACTTCGAGACCAATGTTTGCTCGAAAACAGACAACTCTGTTGTAAATCGGTGAAAATCCGTTGCTTAAAAAAGCTGACTTCCCGACTCCGTTCGCCCCTCGACTTATCGTCCGAATACAGTTTTTTGGCCTTTAAAAATATTGGTCGGAAGATTTTTCTAGCTGGGCAACGGTAAGTTTATGGCACCCTTTTCCCGTAAAAATTCTAACAGTGTTTTTTACTAAAAGAAACTAATGAAAAAATTTAAAAAGGTACTTACTTCGTCTTTCCGTGTATATTTTATCTGTTGCAATATTTGTAAAAAGTACGACTATATCTCTAAATGAATAAGGAACATAATCATTCTAAAATAATGAAGGATGTTTTATAAACAAAAAATAATAGATATTAAACATTAAAAGCAGTTACAAATAAATGAAAGATTATCGCTTGTTTTTGTAATTTTAAGGAAATCATTTCTTAGAATAAATTGTTTTATGTATTAAAAGTATCAAGATTCTAATGGTTATATTTAAATAAAAAATTACTTAGAATTGTGTTATATTTAAAAATTAATTAGCAATGGTACATCGTTTTCAAGTAATTAACCCGATAATTTTAATAATACTGTGAGGCTGCGCGAGGCACAGATGGGGCCAATATTGATAAAATACCGTGCGGAATATTTTGAAATCCGATATTTTAATTTGTAAATAGAGTATATTATTCCCATTGCTGTGCATTGTGACGGCAGTATTCGTAGGGTTCAGAGGAACCGCTTTTAATGACCCGGATGCGAATGGTTCCACCTAGCAGTGTCGTATTCAATTTCTACCTCTGTACTTTTCGTAATCTCAAGGTAATTCTCCTCCCGATTCTTTGACCCCTTCCATCCACCCTTAAAGTCCGTGTCATATTACCGTACCTTTGAGATCTGGCGCCGACGTCTGCGACTCGCTTTTTCTCCTTTTTTCTTTTTCTTTTTTGAATCGTCGATCCAGCAAAAGCAAAAACGATCCAAAAAATCCTTTACAATTTATAAAATCCTTTATTAAATCCTTTACCATTATTGCTATATTTGTTACAATGTTAAAAGAAAATTACAATTATCTTTACCATAAATATTCGTTTTTTAGTGGAAATAAAGGGATAGATATTTTTATTTTAGATTTAGATAACATGATCTCATTAAATACATTTTCTGTGAAATAGAAAACAATAATAAAGCAATAAACCAGGAGATGAATGTTTCAGAATTCAGAATACCCTTTTAGAAGGGCAGTGTAGACAATTAATTCTTTGATAATTTTCATGAAATTGGATAATGTATTTATTTCACTAAATGTTTTAAAAATTGAATGTTTAATAAAGATTTTATATTAAAATAAAAATAGTAACAAAGAAGGTGATTTAGAAGTTCAATAATTTAGATGTAACGAATAAGAAACAAAATGTTAATACTTTAATGATAATATTGCAAATAATATGGAAATGTTAATGTGTTTTTAATGCTCTGAAAAATTGAGCTACGAAAACAATGTATTTTCAAATCTATTCCAATATTTCCTTCTATCGGCAACAATTGTTGAGCAATTTTAGAATATCGCCACGGATGGCGGTATCTGTTAAAAGTTTCATAACAGTTACCATAGATTTAAGATTCGTGAATCTGTTAGTAGTTTAAACACTTTGTCATAGATGGTAGCATGGATTTATTTGACCACATTCTTCATTGCGTCAAAAACTTTTAAATTTTAATTATTTTTAAAAGTGACCTTAACAGATACAATTTTTAATGCATAATATTTATTTTAACGAATTCAAAACATTTTAATGCCATGAAAAAAGTATAACTTATTATCCTTTAAATATTTATTATGTACTTAAACCTGCGCCAATAAGAAACAATTACCATATTCGAATGTTTCATACAGGATAGTTGTATGTAGTGCAAGTGTCTCCGATATTTGATACCGGTAACAAATTTATTCGAGGTGTATTGTGATTGTTTGTGAATTCTGAATATTCCAGTGTCACAAATGTATGTATTAAAAAGGCTGTCAGGGACTGTTAATCGTTCCTGCAAAGATTACCTTAGAAGAACCTTAACCTCTACATCGACTGAAAGCAAAGAGGTTGAAGAACAAAAAGGTAAATAATTATACGTAAACATTAAAGCATACTACTAAATACGATAAACGATAACAATACAAGTACCATAACATATATATCTATAATATTTATATATTATTTCAGAGAAGAATATTTTAGTGGAATTCATTGAAGGTGTAACCACAATTGGGATAAATCGTCCTGACAAAAAGAATTCTTTAGATCTCGCTACCACGCAAGAATTGGTGCAAGAATTGGAAAAATTTGAAAATGATGAGAATTCTTTTGTGGGCGTGCTTCATGGATTTGGAGGTAACTTCTGTAGTGGTTATGATCTGAAAGAAATTTCACAGTATGATGGAAAAAATGAAGAGATTTTACCACAGTTTGGGCCATTGGTAAAGTACTTAAATTTATATATAAATATGGTACATTTGCTACATTATATTAGTTAATCAATGATTTATAGGCTGACAGAATTGAATTAAGTAAAAAGCCTTTGGTTGCTGCTATAGATGGTTATGCAGTAGGTGTAGGTTTTGAACTTGCGTTAATGTGTGATATGAGGGTAGTAGACAGAACTGCAATCATGGGATTCTTAAATAGGCGATTTGGTATTCCTATATTATGTGGTGGTACCGTTCGTTTACCTGCTATGATTGGATATTCTAGAGCAATGGAAGTCATTCTAACAGGTCGTGCTATTTCTGCAGAAGAAGCTATTAATTGGGGTTTAGCTACTAAATGTGTATCTCCTGGTACAGGTAGAATTGGATAGTAATAATTCATAATAAAATACATAATACAATGTAACTTCATTCAATTTGACGGTTCTTTTTCATTCACAGCATTAGGTAATGCAGCTACCTTAGCTAGATCACTCGTCAAATTTCCACAGAAAACACTATTAGCAGATCGTGGATCCACACACTATGCAACATTTTGTGCCAAACAATTAGAAGAGGCTTTACAGTTCGAGAAAGATAATAGCTCTCATCTAGTGTTTGAGGATGGCGTTGAAGGGGCAAAGCGGTTTGTAACAGAAGGTTTAGGAAAACATGGAAAATTTCATAATTTAACTGAAAGAAATTTTACTCCGAGAGATTTGGATAAAGATCTTCTGTAAAAAATTTTTAATATTACACAGATACTATACTGAATACGACTGATTTTCCGTGAAACCGTTTTACGCATAGTAATTGTATATAAAACTGTATATATGGAAAATATCTTCTGAAAATGTTTACAAATTTACTACCCCTAAAAGGTTGTCAGTTTATTTTTATTATGACTTCCTCTTTGATATAGATTTATTAGAAGAACCTTTTCTTTGTATAATTTGAGGTTTTAATATTGTGTCAGTGCACCTTCTAGCTGCTTTCCCGTTTATAAGTGGCACATAATTTACAATTTTACCATTCTCGCCTCCTGTAAATAATACATTTAAAACAAATAATATATTATGCAATGATTGTACTTACGTTCGTACATGACTATCAAGTAAGATAGATTTGCTTGAAAGATATTGAGACCAGATGTGTAAGGCTCATAAAAGGAAGTTTTTTTTAATTGGCACTGATCTTCATCACATAAATCGAATTCAACTACAAATATTTGTATTATTTTATTATCACAGTACAAATAACTTCAAGGTTTTATTGGTTCTCAATCAGTAACCTACCTGATTCATTTAATCCTATTGCACTTCTAATATAATTTAATATTAATTTTAGTGGGCAATTAATATTTACCAAAAGGATTCTCTCAATTTCATCATTCTGTGCATGTTCTTGATCATTATTGACAGGAACTATACATCGAATCTGTGAATTAATTTACAATTCAATGCATTTAACGACAATATTCTTACCAGCATATTTAATTCTTATAATCGATGTCATAGTATCAATTCTCACATAAACAAGAAGTGCAAAAGTAAACAGAATTATCAGATGAAGGAACAATATTGTAATAAAAAAATAACGAGGTTAAAACAATTGAAGTAGATAATTTTTACTGTTTAGTAAATGATTTTGAAGTCTGAGTATTAAATTTCAGGACAGTTTTTAAAATTTATAGTTTTTATAATTAATTTATATATTGATTTAATTTATTTAAATCAGATTATAACTCATGGTACGACTGAATTTTTTTGTTAAAATTCCACTTTCCCAAAGTAACTATTAAGGAAAGACAATCTATTTTTATCTTTTTTCTTCTTAATATTCGTAGATATTACAAACTCAAAATTCAGAATCAGATTTTCTTTAATCCAGAATTTATTACTCTGATGGTAACGTTACAAACGCTTTCAGAGTCATACATATGGGTATCAATATACTCTTTCGTCGAACTTCGTTCCTTTTTCAACCCATAAATGTACAATTCATCAAGAAATGAAAAAGCAATTAGAAAAAGCTAGCTCAAGTATTAAGAAGCAATACAAAACCAATTATAAAAATCTATGCCACTTTCCCAGATACCATTCTATAACAAAAGAAAAGGTCATTCCAAACTGGCTGCAATATGGATATAACATATAAATAGATAAACTATTTTAAACATTCCCAAAGAAATTAGTTATATTTATTGAAACACAATTACCAAAAACAGTAATACAAACAACAGGTATCCTGTCAAATGGCGACTTTATAGATTCGAAGATTACTGATCTAGTATATGACACAGTTATAATTCTTCGGATCTTCATCGCGTCTTTTTTATGTTCAAACTTAACAGTTCCGACTATATGCTTATCAGTAATAATTTATAAAAATCGATCAGTTTCGTTTCTACAGCTGTGCCGTATATTTGTCGTCATCGGTCCACGCAGAGATGCATCAGACATGTGCAGGACTCGTGCAGATTGTAGCTTTAGGTCAGATTTCTTCGGGGCGGTCACCGTGGCCGGCGTATTCATTGGACTGGAATTCCGAATAATTGTGGAATTTCATATTCAAGTTGAACAACAACGACCGTCCACGGGACTTAATTGGCGAAAGTAATGCGAGCCGGCCAACCACCGTCAAGCCAGTTGAAGCTGTGTGACGAAACGAGTGCAGGTGGCGGTGCATTGTTGCGCAATCGTTCGTATCCCTCCTCCTCCGCCACCACCTCCTCCTCCTCCTCCTCCTTGTAACCAGGAGTCAGGACGAGAGTCCCCTTCGTAACCAGAAGGCACTCCCCACCAGGTGCCTTCCTCCCTGCTCGACCTGGTGAATGTTGCGCCCGCAAATCTGCGCGATCAGCGCCGACGCCGTTCTTTCTTTCGTTTCTTCCTTCAGTATTACCTTTCCCAAGGACTCTGGCCCTATTTTTTGCCTCTCCTTCGGCTGCCGTGTTCATTTTCACTGGGACCGAATGGACTTCGTCGAAAGCTAACCTGCGGATCTTGCTGAGAGCTTAGACGATCCTCGTTTAGGGCCGATCGAGATTCTTGCGACAAGTCATGCCGGATAATTGAGCTGTCTGGATCTCAAGTGGTGCGAGTCCGAAAATTTGGACTGGATCGACGTGGCTTAGATCTGAAAT